TTGTTAGCCACCTAGAGTGGTCTTAACCGACCAGATAAGCGGGATATAAATAAATAAATAAATAAATAAATAAATAAATAAATAAATAAATAAATAAATAAATAAACGTGCTTAGGAATTATCCCAGAAACCATCTGTAATTAATAAAGTTGTTCTGTTGAAACGTCATTACTGGATGGACCTTCGTCTTTTTCAAGTAAACCACGTTGATCAAAGAGATCAACTGGTGGCAGCATATCAGAGGGCGTGCTGAGGTACCTTGTGAGCGCTCTGTTTTTGGGGAAACAAGAATGGGCCACGAGGGTGAATGCCACAGGAACGTACATTTCTCTGAGAAATGGAAAACACAAGCAATACTTTTTAAAAACACAGTCAAAGCAGTAATGCATAACAATCCATCATGCTCAGGCAGTCACTGAGGGAAAGCTTGCCGGAAAAGAAAGGTTTTCATCTGCTTGCGGAAGGATTACAGTCCAATCCAGAAGAGAATAACATCAACAAAGTCGCTGAGGTTACAGGACAGGATTCAACCCTTCACATGTATCTCTCTCCAATGATACATGCCTTCTCTGAACTGACTGCATAACAGGTCCATCCTGCTACACAGAAGACTTTCAACATGTCAAGGATGTCCTTCTGCTGCCTACCAGGAAAACAAAGAAGGATAAAACAGTGGGCTTTTAAGCTATTTATATATCTTCTGTGATCGCTTCCTCTCTGACAAAAACAGCTCTTTCCTCCCTTGTTGTTCTTGTCCACTTAGTCTCGATTTCAACTAGAAAGGCTCAAAAGGTTTGATCCTTCGCCTCTCTTCCCGCCTATCATTTTTTGCCGCTGCATCGCTAGAAAGTTAGTACCTATGTTGCAGCAAGAACAAAATCTCGTGGCTTCTTAAAAACTAATACATTTTATTTGTCATCTGTTTCCGTGGATATTTGTCACCAGGGTGGCTTTGATTGGAAATCACGATTCAAAGTTTTAAAATTTGGGATTTTGGGGGGATGAATTGTTTAAATAATCGATTTTTTTTATTTAACTCATGATTATTTTAAATCAATCCGATTTAAAAAAAAATCACTGATTTTTATCCACCCTGTTTGCAGCCCACTTTTATTTGATGGATGCAGAGGCGCACCAATTGGCAGGTCGAAAAGTCGACCGCTTCCTTATATCTGCGTGCACTTTTTCTTCTTCATGGGGGAGAGAGAGAATGCATTTCCACTCCTTCTGCAATAAAGTCATGCGTGTCTATGCACGAGGACGCAGCACAAAGGTTTCAGCATCCTCATGTGTACAAATGCATAAGGCGGCCAACACGAATCGCTAACGCGGCCGATGCCCGTCCTCTCACCCCACGCGCGTTTCTGCACGAATAAGAATAAGGATTCCGAGCAGTGGAAGGGAGATATCTCTTTAAGTCGAATGTTCCACCCGTGGACTAGGGGAAAGAGGTGCTCCTCATTCTCAACTGATGTTCGCCCGGGGGAAAAAATGGTATGTACCTCTCCCCCGCCCCCAAATCCGCCTGCCTGAAGTTTCGCGTTGCAGCCTCCGCCTTCCTTTGAACGGACGAACCTATTTTGATCCTCACCAGCTCCCTTTCAGCCACTGAAGCTGAGATTGCAGGGGAGGACCAGAACCTGCTCTCACAGAGACCGAGGATTGGTTGAGGGAACGGCTGCCTGACCCCGCCTTTTCCCACAACCAATCCTCCCTGCTTCTCTTAAGGAGCTCCTCTAGGAGTACGCAAGTCTATCCTTTTAACCCCTCTTGAGGAGTTTTTTTTTGGCTGGTTATTTAGAAGCAGAGAACTAGAACGCTCAAGGCTAGCGAGGGCAAAGCCTAAGGCTTTCTTAGCCGCGGGAACGGTGACATCATCATCATCATCCACCCTTTCGGAGGCACCTTTGCTCCTTTTTAAGCTTGATTGCAATCTTCGTAGTAGCTGAGACAGAAATGGGTTTTGCAAGGAACATATTATTGCAAGCTATATCTGGTGCAAGGCGAAATATGAGAGGGTGGTTTAGTTCTGTGCCATCAGGTCACTTCTGACTTAACAGCAACTCTATGGATTGTTGGCCTTCAAAAGTTCTCGCCATTAACAGACCTGCTCACATCTTGCAAACTCCAGGCCATGGTTTCAGCACCCCGGTTTTTTGTTTGTTTTTGCAGGATTGGGTTTCAGCACCTTGGATAGCTTCTATAAAGTAATATTTGGGGCGGATCCAGTGTTTTCCCTACTCCCCAAAAATAGCCCCACAAGTTGCCCCTGGCCTTGTTTCCAGCATTACAGCCTAGCGGCACTGAAATATCCATGCTGGATAGCCAAGGCAACCTTCTAGAGATACGGTCTCCCAGTATCCGGAAGAAGCTGTGTGGGAGAAGGACATTTTTGCAAGGAAAAGACCATCTCTTCTTGTTGAATAACTCTCTATCTACAGTCTGGGCTTGTTTTGATAATTTCCTCATGATCAGTAGTTTTCAGATGGTGGCCTGGGGGAAGCTTGGGAATTCCTCCTGACCTTGGAAAGTTACTTTTTTTGGACTACAACTCCCAGACACTTTGTAACAGTTTGGTGGCCATGCCAGGTGGGGATACTAGAGTTGTAATCCAAATGTAATTTTTCCAAGCTCTGGCATCTTTAAAAGGAGATTAGTAATTCCAGTCATTTGGGAGTAGGTCATGATTTAGCTTCCGGTTGTTTAAAAAGAGATCAGCTGCTACAACATGTAGTGACGTGAGCCCAGCTGAGAGTGACTGACCAAAGATGACTTAGTGACAGTGAAGGTTTCAACTGAGAACTCCTGAATTCCAGTCCAGTGCCTTAGCCACTAAACCTCATAGGTTCATCAGCTTAATTGACCTACCAGGGTGAGGTTAGATGGGACTGAAAGAAATCTACATGTATAAATCTGAATTTTTCTCAGTAAGACCACTGCAATTCCATGTTTAAAAGTAATTTTATTTTTTAAATGTTGTCTCTAAATACTTATATTAACACAGCATGAATGGCCCATAATTCCCAATTACATAAAACACCAGCTTGCTTCAGTAGTTCACATAATTATGGAGAGTAGTGCTTCTTCTTCTGTCTAAGGAAGGTGTAGGCAACTGTACACCCTTGGGGCTTTTTATTTTGGCCCACTTCCACCTCCTTTAGCCAGCATAGCCAATGGCGAGTGATTATGTAGTCCCTGCTCCCCCACCGCCATTATCTAATTCAGTGGTTTCCAATCTTGAATCCCCAGATGTTCTTGGACTGCCACTCTCAGAAATCCTGGCCAGTACAGCAGATCGTGAAGGCTTCTGGGAATTTTATTCCAAGAACATCCGGGGTTAAGAAGCACTCATCTAGAGGGACATATTTTTCCACCCAATATTTGCTTAGCCTCTCTTTGTGGGGGGGAGGATTTAGAGTGTCAATCCCACACTCTTAGGGACGCAGTACAAGTTCAGTTCCTTCCCACACACGGAACCAGGGCCAGTACAGCAGATCGTAAAGGCTTCTGGGAATTTTATTCCAAGAACATCCGGGGTTAAGAAGCACTCATCTAGAGGGACATATTTTTCCACCCAATATTTGCTTAGCCTCTCTTTGTGGGGGGGAGGATTTAGAGTGTCAATCCCACACTCTTAGGGACGCAGTACAAGTTCAGTTCCTTCCCACACACGGAACCAGGGTTGGATGGTTTGCCCAGAAAAATTGGCTGAAGAGAAAGTGTAGATTGTCGTTTTGGTGTCAGGATTGAAAAAATCCACCAGCCTTTCAGAGTAGTCCAGGAACACACGTATCCTCTGGGGCTTCTTGCCAAGGGAAAGAGGTGTAGGTTGTGGGGCGGTAAAAGCTACATAGTTCCCCTTTCCCCAGTACTCAGCCACAGCCCACAGGCCTTCTGTGGTGCTGAAGTCCACGGCTCCCTTTCTCCTCAGAGATTGCTTGGCGACCCCGACAGCCCATTCCCCATTGCCCTTCAATTCGACTTCCCAGCAGTGCCTCCCCGAGTTGAAACCTGGTTTGCCCAACACCCAAACACGCTGATCAAATCTCTCGGTGTTGTTGGGAAGGTTTTGCTCCTCTTTTCCCCACTGCACAGTTTTCCCATCCTTAGACACCATGAGACGCCGATGAGCAGTTTCTGGGTCCAGAGTCACATGCGCTGCAAAAGGAAAAGGAGAACATTCATTCCTTCATGGGACATTTTTTTTCTAACTCCCCTTTCCTCCCATGATGAAAATGGTCTGCTGCTTTCCTTCAGCATCCGCATCTTGTACCTGAGGAAGGAGGGTTTTCTTGACTGGCAAAGTAGCCACCTTCCACCTAAAATATGCTTATGAAAGGGTGGAGTGTCTGCAGACCACAAAGGAAGTCAGTATCTTTATTTGGACCAATCCAAACATCACAGGTATTAATTGAGGCCTTATAGAAATATGGGCCTTGTGATGGATTTTGATATAACTTTGTCCCTTGGGTGTTAACAGGCTCTAAAATACAATAAAAGTTCATGCCACAAATTTTACACATTCTATCTTTTCCGAAACTCTGTGAATAAAGCCTGTACCGTCCAGTAATGGGGAACGTCATGGGTCATATTTGCTGGGTTGTTCTGAGAACTGCAGTCTGGAAAAGAGTAGCCTTCCTAAACTAGTTAACCTTAGCCATTCTAAAGGAGGATGATAAGCATTGCAATCCAGTGGCAAGCAGAAAGCTATAGATCTATAGCTATCTGTCTATAGCTATCTATTTCTATAGCTATAGGAAGCTATATATTGTCATGGGTCTAAAGCAGTGATTCCCAATCTTGGGTCCCCAGATGTTCTTAGACTAAACCTCCAGAAGCCTTCACCACTCATTGTGATGGCCAGGATTTTTTTTTTTTTGTAATCCAAAAACATCTGGGGACCCCAGGTTGAGAAGCACTGGAAAGTTTTGTTTTCAGAGCTGGGGGCCTGACAGAGTAGCTAGTAATGTGGAGCGATCATCTCCTCTACTCACTCACATGAGCCAATGCTTCACACACAGTGATTTGCACTGTGTATAGCTCCTATGGGAGCAATTCGGCACACATATTATCAATCCATCAATCCATTTCTTTCTACTGTGCACCTCTACTTTGCTTTGCAATTGGACTTGATTAGATTTATTCATAAATGGTGAAGCAGAAAACTGTTGCAGGCCTTAGACTCAATCCCTCTGATAACCCGAAGGAGATTAAAGTTACCTATTGTTTTTCCAGGGATCCATTCACATGAATTGGATGAAGCTGGTGCATTGGGACCATTTTGCACATTTTCAATCTGAAAAACTTTCAAAATATGTTCAGATTAGGAGAAGGGAGGCAGGAGATAGATACAGTATATCACAGAAGTGAGTACATCCCCTCACACTTCATAAATATTTTAGTATATCTTTTCATGTGACAACACTGAAGAAATGACACTTGGCTACAATATAAAGCAGTGAGTATACGGCTTGTATAACAGTGTCAATGTGCTGTCCCCTCAAAACAACACAAAACACAGCCATTAATGTCTAAACCGCTGGTATAAAAAGTGAGTACACCCCTAAGTGACAATGTCCAAATTGGGCACAAAGTGTCAATATTTTGTGGCTACCATTATGTTTCAACACTGCCTTAACGCTCTTGGGCATAGAGTTCACCAGAGCTTCACAGGTTGCCACTGGAGTCCTCTTCCACTCCTCCATGATGACATCACAGAGCTGATGGATGTTAGAGACCTTGCACACCTCTACCACAGATGCTCAATAGGGTTTAGGTCTGGAGACATGCTTGGCCATCACCTTTACCCTCAGCTTCTTTAGCACAGCAGCAGTCATTTTGGAGGTGTGTTTAGAGTCATTATCATGTTGGAATACTGCCCTGCAGCCCAGTCTCCAAAGGGAGGGGATCATGCTTTGTTTCAGTATGTCACCGTACATGTTGCCATTCAGGGTTCCCTCAATGAACTGTAGCTCCCCAGTGCCGGCAGCACTCATGCAGCCCCAGACCATGAAAAGATATACTAAAATATTTATGAAATGTGAGGGGGTGTACTCACTTCTGTGATATCAGATAGATAGATAGATAGATAGACAGACAGACAGACAGACAGACAGACAGACAGAAGATAGATAGATAGATAGATAGATAGATAGATAGATAGATAGATAGATAGATAGATAGATAGATAGATAGATAGATAGATAGATAGATAGATAGAGCTGTAGCAGCTGAGTTTTAGCCTACAAATCCTCTAGAGTGGACTTCTCCCATGATTGGGAGCCCAAATGGCCAACATCCTTTGACCAGGTTGCAGTCCAACATAACTCCACATGGTTAAAGCTGCATCCTACATGCCAATGTTTACTGCCATACCTTCCTCTACCTGCCCTTTCCCCTTCAGCTTCGGCCTGGGGAGAATCTTAGTTGACCCATAAGAAAAGCAAGATACTGTAATGTAGTAGAAACTGTAATCATATCTTTAGCAGGAGTTGGTAAAGGTCTTAACATGTGTCTTTAGAAAACATCCAAGGCCTGGAGATATTTAGTAACCAATTACCATGTAACTTAGCTTCCAAAAAGCCATGATAACAATTATTACAGCTAGCTGTCTATCAAGCCTCTTCATATAAGACCCCATCTTAACAAGGTATTCATCCTTTATAAGTGGTTAAGCTGCAGCACTGCAGTTCAGACCCTGCTCATGGCCTGAGTTTGCTTCTGATGGGCTCAGGTAGCTGGCTTGACGCTGACTCAGCCTTCCATTCTTCCAAAGTTGTTAAACTAAGTACTCAGCTTGCTGGGTGTGCATGTGTCAATGTGTAGCCTGCATAATTAAATTGCAAACCAACCAGAGAGTGCGTTAAGCACTATGGGGCTTTATAATAGTACTGGTAACGTTGATGTTTCTATTCCCCTCGCACCATCTCCTATGGTGCCACCTGGGCTTGTGGAAATACAACTGATAAAACTTTTCCTGATGTGGGGATAAATTAATGGGAAAAGCCTCACCTGCCGTATTTTGTCATAAGACATTGGAGCTGAAGAAAAGGTAGCACCCTTCAGCAGGGCAGAACATAGTAGAAACCTACCGATCAGAAGAACGATTAGGACCACGTTCAGAGCAAGGCTTCCTGTCAGAAAAAGGGTCACTCCGATTTTCCAGACTTTTGAAACCGAACCTGTGAAAGGTAAATTTAAAATTGTGAAAGCACAGCTGTGGTTTATGAAAACTACATGTGGACCTACAGCAAAATGTTGCCATGTGGAGTGATCCTATTTTAGGGTTCCAGATAGCTTCGACTTATTCCAGGAATGATACATTTCCCCCCTCGCTTCCTGTGCCCTTCATTTTTTCCCCTCCACCCCTAACTATCAGTCAGCTCTGTTGCCACAAAATATATTTAGGGTTCATTAGGTTATTCGTGACATCCCTGCACTCCAATAGCTTTTTCTTTCCTCGCAGATTTTCTTTGTACTTCTGCACACTTTGGAGTTCTCTGTTAGAATTTTGTTTTTTTTAATCACCCATATTAATCAAGACATACATTAATAACAGACACATGGGACTTATAGTTTGCCTGGCTTGGACAGTTTGAGCTTCAGAGTGAGAAGCTATTGAGAAACTGCTGGAGCAGTCTGGAAGCTAACCACATAAATTTATTATTCTAACAGATGTTAAAAAGAGGAACTTAAAGAGAAGTTAATCCAAACTACAAATAAGTGTGTTGCAACTTAAATAAGTTCCAAACTATAACTGGTAATGTGTGAGTGAAATGAGGTCCATAACTGACCCATATTCTGACTAGGGAATGAAAAGTCTGTGATTTGTGAGGATGATGCCTTCAGCAAGGTTACTTGGCACATCAAGATACCTATTTAGCCTTTCTTTCCTTTATAGGGAAAGAAGAAAAAAAGATCTCTCACAATGTCCCCTCCTGTCTCCTCTTCCATGGAGGAATCAGGACAAAACTATGATTTTTTTAAAAGTGTATATTTGTAACTGCTATAACACTAAATTGGCTTACCGATCAACCAATTCATCTCTTAGTGATACGGGAATATTTAAAAACAAAATGAAACCAAAAATCCTCTGTATCCTCTTCGGTCTCCCCTTTGATGGGACAGCAGGAGGAAGTTTTTGATTTATTAATAAGTGGTTTGATCCTGAAGTGGCTTAAGTATAGCAGGCAAGCAATCTGCTTTGGTTTACTCCTGGTGATCATGCATCCCAGAACTGAACTAAAATGGAACAATTTTACTTGATCGAAAGAAAGAAAGAAAGAAAGAAAGAAAGAAAGCCCCCAACAAAGACGCCAAAATATGTGGGTAGACAAGGACAAGGGTCAGGCTCAACAAAGACCCCAAAATATGTGGGTAGACAAGGACAAGGGTCAGGCTGGTTTACAACTGTTCTGTATGTCATGTAGTCACCAGAAAAAGAATGAATTGGCCCATTCCCAAAGTGGACCAAACAGTGCTGTCTGACTTCACCCTTGCTCAAGCTCAATTTGTTTAAAAGTTTGGCACTATTCTGTAGGGTGGCCACACTATTCTTTTAGGGAGGACGGGGCTCCATTTTAAGGAAAGTCAGAGGGCATTTCCCCTTTACAAGGTGCCCTCCATTTGTAGGGCTGTCCAGTTCAAATCTGTTATAAAGAGGAAGAGGAAGGAAGAGGAGGAACCAGGACATTCCCCACCCGTTGTGAATATCTGGACTCAGCAGGTTCATCACACACCTGGTTGCAGTTCATCTGTCTGCATGAAATGTGTGGCCGTTCTGTTTTAAGTAGGAAAAATCATGTCGAATTTTGCATCTTTGCAAAAAATAAATGGCCAAATCCTATGAATTATGCCCTCCAATGTAACATAATTGTCATAAATTTGGAAGTTTGTGCAAATATTTGTTCCCCACAGCAAATGCTCAGAGGAAGAGGAAGGAAGAGCAGAAACCGGGACATTCCTCACCCATTGTGAATATCTGGACTCAGCAGGTTCATCACACACCTGGTTGCAGTTCATCTGTCTGCATGAAATGTGTGGCCGTTCTGTTTTAAGTAGGAAAAATCATGTCGAATTTTGCATCTTTGCAAAAAATAAATGGCCAAATCCTATGAATTATGCCCTCCAATGTAACATAATTGTCATAAATTTGGAAGTTTGTGCAAATATTTGTTCCCCACAGCAAATGCTAAGTAGGAAATGTCGAATTTTGCATCTTTGCAAAAAATAAATGGCCAAATCCTATGAATTATGCCCTCCAATGTAACATAATTGTCATAAATTTGGAAGTTTGTGCAAATATTTGTTCCCTTCCCCAAATGCTCATGTTGGCTTCTTAATTTGTGGCTATTTGCCATCAGGATTTACAGCAATTCTATTATATGTGCATCAAAGTGCAATAGGATTTTGGCCAAAACATGCAACTTTATGCAAATTCATGTATCCTCTTTTGTCCTTACGGTGATCTATGGCTTCCTTTGTGGTGATGTATAAGTGCCCATCCCTAAAACTACAGATGAAAACAAAGACACGACTCTGATAGGATGCAGAGGAAGTTCTGCAAAGAAAGGAGATGGTATGATCTCATATTAGCCCAGGTTCAATTTAGTCTACAATCCAGTCTTTTGTAACTGCAGAAACTAATTGCAAGGAGAAGTGAATAAGTATCCTCACACTTTTAAACAAAAAATAATAATTCACAACAATCATTAACACTGGGAAAAAAGACAGAACTAGTGAAAATACTTGAAAGGCAGGCATACAGAGGAGGGGCAAGGGTTTGTTCTCAGTTATCACAGAGTGCAGAACATGTAATAATGGGTTCAAGTTACAGGAAGGCAGATTTAGGCTGGATATCAAGAAAAACTTCTTAACTGATAGAACAGGTCAAGAATGGAAGCAATTCCCCCAGGAAGTGGTGAGTGCTCCAACACTGGGGGCATTCCAGAGAAAATTGGATAATTATCTCTCAGATCTGCTTTGATTTGGATTCCTGCACTGAGCAGGGGGTTGGACTCGATGGCCTTATAGGCACCTTCCAACTCTCTTATTCCATGATTCTATTATTCTATGATAGTAAAAAACCACAAATGGTTGTAATGTAATAACAAACATGACACACTTCCCCCCCTCCAAAATTTTTTTTCTATATATACTCCTTGTGTAATTGCAGACGTTTCCTCGTGGCTTGAGCTGAGGCAAGAACTGTTAACAGCATGACACTGTCCCTTTTGTTATATTATGTAAGATTATGGCTTCAAAATGTGTAGTGGAGAAACAACCGCACTATTTAACATCAGACTGAAAACAGTTTTTAGTCAGACAAGTGGGAACAGAGAAACCGAGGTTGCAACGAACCACCGGATCCCTCTTCCAGAATACTATTTTCCCTCAGGGTCTTAGGGAGCCTGAGGTTGGGAGTTTGATGCCTCACGGTGCCTTCTGAGGTAAAACTCTGCCTGTGTGGCCTTGGGCCACAGTCCCAGAGCTGAAGAAGAGAAGGGTAAACCACTTCTGAGTACTAAATACCTGGAAAACCTTGGAAAGGGTTGCTGTACGTCAGAAGCAACTCGACAGCACACAACACATATACACAATATTCCCCAGTTTTATCAAGACTGATGGGATTTCAAAGAGACTTAAACACCTCTAACGGCAAGATGGAGGTGCTTCAAAAGTTCAGCCAATATTTCTTTTAATAGAGTTAAACACACACACACACAGAGAGAGAGAGAGAGAGAGAGAGAGAGGCCCAGTGTAGTGCAGTGCAGTGGTCAGAGTGTTGGGCTAGGCTTGCGTTCACACTGACTAAGCCATGAAATACAGTAGCGGGGAACCCCTCAAGCCACTTCTCCTCTCTCAAGCTAATCTACCTCTCAGGTTTGTTGTGCGCCTAAAGATGGGAGGCGGAAAGCCATCTGGCTGTGAATTAGGCAGAGCAAAAATG